AGGGGCGGGGGAAGCCTCTCCTCTCCGCCTGCAGGCGGGAAGCGTTCCCGCGGGCGCGCTCGGGGTGGGCGGGACTGCTTCCCGCACTGCGCTTCGTGTTCCTCGAGCGCCGCGGGGCCCGGGCTGCGACGGGCGTGTCGCTCGCTCATTCTGCAAAGGGGAAGTGGGCCGGCCGGATGCACGGGACGCGGAGGGTGACTTCGCTCGCTTCTCTGGTCTTTCCAGATCTCGGTTGCTTTCTGGGGGTCGAGCGCCTGTAAGCTCTGGGGGTCTGTGACGTCCCGCGCGCGTCCTCGCCAAGCTGTGTCGGAGGGTCCCGCGTTCCAGCTGCGGCGCCCTTCCCATCAGGTGGCGAGTGGCGGTCGGGCGGGCTTGCTGCGCCAGGCGTCTGTGTCCCGCGGAGGAGCCAGGTTTGTATCACGAGATACAACCAGAGTATCTGGTGTTGCACTCTGCTGTTAGCTCCCGAGAGGCTCTGTTCCTTCCTCAACCCCTCAGCCCTGCTGAATTTAGCGAACCATCTTCAGGGTTATAGATTTCGATGAATGCAATAGTAGTCTGGGATGCCAGCTGGCAGGATTCATTCTATGCGAAATTGTGGAATACTGAACGGTGAGCCTAAGTGGGGGACATTGGCTTTTTCTATATATTTCGTGCTATTTTCCTACTTCTGTCGTGTAGTGCTGCCCTGTTTTCGTGGAAGAACTATGATGCATTTGTTCCCAGCAATATGATAAAAGCAAAAAAAAAAGGAATCATATTCTGGGAGCCCTTAAATCATGTATTACTCTGGCTTGTTTAGATGTTCCTTTCATGAGATTGTGAGCTCCATGGGAGCTGAGACCGTGTGGTTGAATTCTTCGAGAAACGCCCCACCTCCGAATTGGTGCCAGCGCATAGTGTATACATTCAGTGCTTTGGTTTGTCACGGTTTCCTCTTCGAACTGTCATACAAAAGGAAACCTTAAGGAGGGGTAGGTAATGTTTTTCAGATAGGGCATATCCCTTCAGGTGGAATTTCAGGTAATGGTGGAGGTTCCACTGCCCTTCAAATTTTTAATTTTTAAACTACCACCTACATTTTCATAGGGCAAGTGGATGATTCCTAGAATGAATCTTTTTTGATGAATTAACCTCAAAGTCTAAAATAAAGGCTATTTCTTCTGATGAGAAATTCAGGTAGCATCAAAGTACCCCGTTTAGTTACCCCAGTGTTAGCGAAAGATCACACGCCTTATGGGTTATTGCCCTGACATTGTTTGGCAGAAAAGATAGCAAATGCATCTTAAGTGATTTTCACCATGAAGCACAAAGATGTGGTAGTACTGATCATCTTCATTCACTTATTTAATGCTTTCTGTTTGGAGCTTCTATTTTTCTCTTTGCCTAAAAGGTTAGGTATCATTAAAATTTTGCTTAAACTTTGATTTCAAGAAATTGAGTGTATACTCAGCCTATATAGAAATTACATCCATTTGCCTGGACTGTTTTCTGAGTGAATTCTCATGCTCAAGAGATGTTTTACCCATCAACCTTTCATTTCTCTCCTCAGGTTCAGTTCACTCACCTTTTCCCTCTGTCATCCTTCTTCTCTCCTCAGCTCACAAAGTAAAAGTATCCACAATTTTAAAAAAGAGCCAGCCATAACCAAATTATCTTTTTCAATGACAGAATTTTTGACATAATATATTGACATAAACAGCAGTTTGGACATATGAAAAAGGCCCTGGGAATTTGGCGCTTGGCCAAATGAAATTTTGTTTGTTTAGGTAAAGTTTGCCTCCTCAATATTCAACACTGAAGTTTTCCAAAATCAATTTTTTCTCACCAGAGACTGCCTTTCTTTGGAATCTTTACCTTTGGATTCAATGGGGAATCCCTTAAATTTTGTAATCAGTGTTGTCAGTAAGGTGGTAGAGGGAAGCCTTCAAATTTTCATCTCTGTTGCACATTCTTGTTTTGCGTTTTGGATAAATAATTTTTAGAAGTTTTTGGCCTAACTCACATGCTCAGTTACATAATTGAAAAAGCATGTTTGTAAACTTACTCAGACTATTTTAATGATAATTTTTTGAAACTAAAATTTAGAATGAATGACAGATACAATAATGACTTTTTGAAAGCATAACTTTTCCTACTTTGTACAAATATAATATTGGCAGCAGTCATTGTGTGACGCTGGACTGGGAATCAGAAGACCTGGTTTCTAATCCCTGTTCTGTCACTGACAAGCTGTGTGATCTTTGGTAAGTCATTTAAAATCTATGTCCTTGGCTTTGACTTTTATAATTGAAGATAGATAATATCTTCCTTCTAGGATCATTGTCAGGACTTTAAAATATATCTGAAAATGCCCTGAAAATACATAAAGGGTGTTTTAATAGCTTAACTCTGTGGCAGTCACAGGTATTTGTATAGTGAGACATTCTTAGTTGTTTCTACCATCATAAGAGTCACCTCTTGATACGATAAATAGCTGTTTTTCACATGGTACAGTTTTGTGAGATAAACATGTAGTGTGTATGAAACTGCTTTTGGGTACTAATAAAAGGCATCTTTTACTTTAATGTTCCTTAAATGTTCCACTCTTTAGTGTATCTGCTGAGGCCATATTTGTCTTTGGTTTTCATAAATTTTTTTCCCATTACTTCTCCCAATTCAGAGAGATTTTTCTAAAACAGCCTTACCTTCTTATTACAGTGAAAAGTACATATACAGTTAACTTGTACAAATTTATAACTATATGTGCTTAAAAAATCCTTCTTTGTACTACATGGCTTCAAAATACAACCTGTATAATTTTGCCTAGTGCTTAATAAAAAGAAACAGTAATCAGTTTAAAACTTGAAAGAGAAACTGGGTGGACATATTTTGAAGCATTATGGAGTACAAAAATCCATACTTTGTAAAGCAATATAGAGATCTTTGAAAAAGTAGTTTTATTCTTTGCTTATTTTAATACATATCTTCTGTAAGATGCAATCTGAGTAATTTCAAATAGCAGAATATTTGGTCTATGGACTAGGATTTGTTCTATTGCTATTACAATGCTGAATGTATCTTGTAGCAGTTACTGTATGAGATTGCCTACATTATAATTTCTTTTGTATAGTCTTAGCAACTGTTCTTATTTTGTATGAGTTGTTACCATTTTAGAAGCAGTTACATTGTTTTATAAACATAACAGAATCTGTACAATCAAATAGGTGATAATCTCTCTCCCCCACCAAATAAAAGTAATCATCTTGGGGAGCCATAAACTTGGTTCAGTAACACTTCCATTGCTCAAAAAAGATGTGACATTCTAGTTTTGGAATGTCAGTTTGTAGCACATTTAAAAAATATCTCTAATGGTAGTTAGTCTTCATCTTTTCAAATTAGATTTAATTTCTGGGAGCTAGTAACAGTCCCTTCTGACTAGGACAAATGGATAAAGTGGATATTTAAGCCTCTCTTTGGGATAAAAACAAAGTGTGAGTATTTTCATATTTTTTGAAAGTATGGTTTTCAGAAAATCTCCAGAATATTCTGTGCCATGGTAGAAATATTAGAACAATCAACCTCATAAAGTGATTTCTTTAAAGGAGACAGCACACAGTTAAATACGTAAGTTCTTACATGAGTGTTTTGAGGTCATCTCATTGCATTGTGATCATATTTCTCTTTTCCTTAGCAGCCATAGAAGTGTTTTATATATATATATATATATATATATATTACTGTTTTTCTAGTTATCTTGTTTCTAATTGTTCCTTTATACTTGTGATGATTTTGATGGTGCTCCTGGTGGCTCAGTGTTAAAGACTGCCTGCAGTGCAGGAGAGCCAAGTTCGATTCCTGGATCGGGAAGATTCCCCTGGAGAAGGTAATGGCATCCCACTCCAGTATTCTTGCCTGGAGAATCCCATGGACAGAGGAGCCTGCCGGGCGGTAGTCCATAGGATCACAAAGAGTCAGACACAGCTGAGTTAACTAACATTTTCACTTTGTTTCACCCTTTTCTAAGTTTTTTCTGAATCAGAAACTTAGAGCATTTGTTTTCCTTCCAAATACTGTACTCTGCTTCGCCATTCAACTGTTTTTTCACCCATGTTACTGGATTGTTAGTAAGTTTTCTATTGGATTATGTTGTACCTTTAGTTTTAAATGGTTTAAGCCATTAGCATTTTACTGAAGTATATAAAGACTGAAATCTTAGTAGATAAGTTATCGCTCAGTTTTGCACCACTGACTTTTTATGTCTATTACTATTCTATAACTTTCTTCATACGTATGATTAATCTTTTGTATTAAAATTCATTTCTCTGTTCAGAATCCTTCTTTGCTTATGGGAGGAATCATTCTGTAATGCCACCCTACTTTTCTATCTCAATCCCTTTTTTCCAGCATAAAGCCTTTTTTCGTGTCTTTTTGGTCATACTTACTTACTAAACGGGTTTGTTGTCAGTGCCAAAATTTTTACTTTTATCATTTTTTCCTGCCTGAAATCCCTTTTTCTTTCCTTCTTTCTGTTCAAATTTATCAGTTCTTCAGAGGTGTATCAGGTCATAACTGTTAAACAAAATCTTCAGTGAAACACTTGCTGTTCTGATCTACCTGCATTTTTACACTTTTATTGCAGTTACTTTTTATCACTCATTTTGTACTAAATGAATTCTACCTTGTATTTTTCTTAATTATTATGTTTCAGTGTTTTAGTTCTACACATGGATAATAACTGAAGAACAAGACCATGATTTTTGTATGAACCTCTTTCCTTAAAACATACATAGCATAATTCAGAACAGATGTTCGTATGATGCTTTCATAGATGTTCAATGAATTATTTGTTGAATAAGTATTCTGCCATCTTCATGCAGTTATTTCATGTGATTTTACCTTTGTGAACCATTTAATAACATCAAATAAATATAGTCTGTACTATAAATGCGTTCGTTGTTGTAATCTGATTGTCATTATTATATTCCTAATAACTTTATTTTGTAGAAGCTTAAGTGAAAATGGTACATGTTAGAAGACGTGAAACAAGGAGTAATTCTAAAACTCAAGAGCATGAACAGAAATCTCGAGTCGATTGGAGGCGGACTAAAAGAAGTAGTCTCTTGCAATTATGTGAGAGTGATGATGAGCTTGAGAGTGGTGACGAGCTTGAGAGTGATGAAAGTGCTGACAGTAATGAAAGTGTTGACAGTGACGAAGATCCAGACAGTAACAAGGGGCCTGATTGCATTAAGAAGCCAGAAAATGAAAGAGAGCTTAAACTAATTAATGTTGAAGGTGAAGGAAACAGCAGTAAGCATCTCATTAACACTGACAACAGTTCAATATGTGAAGAAGAAAAGAACAAAACTAAGCATGAAAGTATTGATTCAGCAGACCATGGAAAGGGCTCAGGCCAAGAGGAGGGTGATCTCAGCAGACACACTGGACAAGTAACAGAGGAGGATTTAGAAGAAGAACACATCAAGCGAGGGAAGAGGAAAAGGATCTCCTCTGTCATGTGTGACAGTGATGAGAGTGATGACAGTGATATCCTAGTTAGCAAAGTGGGTGTTAAACGTCCACGTAGAGTGGTTGAAGACGAATGTTCTTCGGTGGAGATGGAGCAAAAAAATCCTGAAAAAACTTCAGCCACAAGAAAGCAAGAACAGCTGCAGAAACTTAAAGAACTCTCAAAACAGAGATCTCGTCAGAGACGTAATAGTAGTAGAGAGTTTGAGGTGTGTTATATTTTATTGGTTTTGTTACTGTTTTTAAATTTTTATTTAAATTATTTAACTTTTATAAAAATCCAAGTCCTGAGTCTGTTCTCTTTTGCAGTAATTCTAGAATTTATTTTTTAGTCAAGTATCCTTGGGCATGTTTGGTTGCAGTATTGCATCTAATAATATTTTATTATGAGCCTCATTCCTTCACTCTTTTTAGAAATTTAAAGATTTTGTTTTGTATGACTTTTCCCATTTTTTATTTCTACTTATTACCTTAATGTCCATTTTAAACATTTTATCACTTACTGGGGTATGTTATCTTTGTCCTAATTTCAAAAGTTCAACATCTAACATGACAAGATTTTTTTCAACCTTAAGTATGAAATTATTTTCTACAGATCATTTTTTGTTTCAGACTTGATCTTTTAATTTCACATCCATAGTGACAATTTTAAAGGTACACTTTATTAAAAGATATGTTTTAATTTAATTAGGACTCTGAAAAGAAATCCTCCCCCAGCAGTGATGAAAATGATGTTGAGGAGGAAGAGGAAGAAGACAATGATTATGAATCTGGTGAAGATGGAGATAATTATATTATTGATGGCTTTGTAGTACAAGATGAGGAGGGTGATGAAGAAAATAAAAGCCAACGAGGAGAACAATTGACTACCTCACAACTGAAATTAGTAAAACAGAATTCTCTTTGTAAGTTAAATATCAAGAGATGTTTTATGACTTACTCTAATTGTTAGAGTATAGTATGTTGAGTATTGAGTCAGCCTTTTACTATCATATTCTAAATCTTTGATTAGGAACTATGGTTTCATTTTCAGGTAACTTTATCTGTCTAATAATAGTTTATTCTAGTGGTTTGTGAGAACCCTTTACTCTTAAAAATAATAGAGAACCCTAAAGAGCTTTTGTTTCTGTGGGTTATATCTATCAATATCTACCATAGTAGAAATACAAAAGAGAAATTTAAAATATATTTATTAATTAAATGACTTAAAATTCTCATGTGATAAGCTCAATGTTAATATAGATAACACTCATGAAAAAATAACTTTTCCAAAAAAATGAGAATAGCATTGTTTTACATTTATATTTAATATCTAGCCTAGTACAGGCAGCTGGATTCTTGTATTGGCTTTTGCATTCAGTCTGTATTGACATTAGAGGAAAGCAATTTTGTTTCGTAGAAGTAGATAGCTGGAAAAAGGAGGGTTGTTTTTAAAGCATTTTCAAAATAATTGTGGATATTCTCACTGACACCACCAAAATTGAACAAGTTTCTTAAAGAACCTGTTCTTAAGTTTCTTAAAGATTCATTGCAATTTGGAGTCTGAAAGCATATAAATTAACTTTTAGTACTTATATTTCATTCCATTGATATGTCTTTCAATTTGAATGGATCTTTTACCTATTCATGATTTTGTAACATCATGCATTGGTTCTTTGGAAAATATTGGTTCACTGGTTATATGAAAGTGAAAGTGAAGTTGCTCAGTCCTGTCCAACTCTTTGTGACTCCATAGACTGTAGCTCGGCAGGCTCCTCTGTCCATGGGATTTTCCAGGCAAGAATACTGAAGTGGGTTGCCATTTCCTTCTCCAGAGGATCTTCCCGACGCAGGGATCGAACCCTGGTCTCCTGCATTATAGGCAGATGCTTTACCGTCTGAGCCACCAGGGAAGTCTATATACTGGTTATATCTCTCTCTCTCTTTAGTCACTCAGTCGTTTCTGACTCTTGCGACCCCGTGGACCGTAGCCCACCAGGCTCCTCTGTCCATGGGATTCTCCACAGGCAAGAATACTGGAATGGGTTGCCATTTCCTTCTCCAGGGGATCTTTCCAACCCAGGAATTGAACCTGGGTCCCCTGCATGGCAGGCAGATTCTTTACCAACTGAGCTATGAGGGAATCTTCCATATTTTGACACATTCCACTATATTTTAAAAATCACATTTACTGATATCACCACCAGTATCATCAAAAAATTCTTTAGGTATTGGGAAATTGTCAAGCTCATAGTAGCAAATACAAGTTTTTAAAAATTCTGATTTCTACTCAAATACCAGTTTTTATCCTTGGTAACAAACACTGTGAGTTCTTGAAATGACAGATTCTCTTTGTTCATTTTTGATAAAATATTTGGCAGATGCCTGAATAACCATAGTTGGTCAACAGTTCTTTCAGGTAAACTTGGTGTTTCAAATAAATCTGAAAAATGAGGCTCCCAACTTAGTTTTAAAAGATGTATACTCAGATTCATGACTTAATAAAAATGGTAATTTTTACTGCTTCCTCATGGACATTTTTAAATGAAAGTAGCTTTTTTACTGAATGCCTAGCAGTGGTGACTATAGTGATTACTAGTAGTATGATTCCACAGCCATGATTCATGTTAAGGAGCCAGCTGCCTTATCCATAGTTACTTTTGCACCATCAGTGACAATGTCAAAATGGCAAGAACAACAGATAATTATCTTAATATTAGAGCTTTGACTTCACTGATCCCCTTAAATGGACTTAGAGACTTACAGGAGTCTGTAGACCACACTTTGAGAACCACTGGTGTCATCTGGACTTTTGAAGTGTTACGCAGTGAAACCTGTTAGGAGATTAGAATAATTTATATTTACATGTAATAAATAATAGGACCCTAAAATATTAGAGTGTCTTTAAATGTGTATATTATTGTTCTGATTCCTATAATTGTACATAAATTTAAAGACTGTTATGATGTTTTACAACTGTGGTAGAAACAGGATGTTGGATGAAAATTTTTTTTTCCCTTCAAGAATGCATATTTCCAAAAGGAATTTAAAAGACATGTTTACTAAAGTTAAGTTTAATATGATTCAACTTAGATACTGATTTAACTAGTAGATTGAGATATGAATTAAATTTCAAGAAAATCAAGAAATCAGTTACAGAGATGCCAGTGATAGGCATAGGCATCTGTATGTTGAAAATTAATGAGTGTTTTCTTTATATCAGTAAGCACTGGTTCACATGCCATCAGGACATTTGATCTCAGAGAAAGTCAGTTAGGACGCGTCCCATCATTCTGGATATTAGTATCTAGGATGTGATAGAACATTTACTGAGAGATACCTACTCATAGGGGCTTCCCTGGTGGCTCATTGGTAACGAACCCACCTGCAATGCAGGAGATGCAGGTTCGATCCCTGGGTTTGGAAGATCCTCTGGAGAAGGGAATGGCAACCCACTCCAGTATTCTTGCCTAGGTAATCCCATGGACAGAGGAGCCTGGTGGGCTACAGTCCATGGGGGTTGCAAAAGATTCAGACATGACTTAGCGGCTCAACAACAACCACACAGTCATAGCCGCTCCAAATAAAAGTCCAGCACATGGAAAGTATCTTAACTCTCTTCTCTATCCTACACTTTAATGCTTACCTTTGGTTTTTTAAGGGAAGTTTTAGATTTACTGAAAAGTTGAGTGAAAAGTACAGAGTTTCTATATAACCCATCACACACGGTTGCCCTGTTACTAACATCTTGCATTATCTTGATGTATCTGGTGCAATTGATGAGCCAGTATTGATCATTGATACATTATTAACTGTAGGTCATAGTTTGCATCTAGGCTCTTTGTGTTGTACATTCTGTGGGTTTGAGAAGTGTATACTGATGCAACAGGTATCCACCGTTACAATAACAGTTTCACTCCTAAAATTATCCTGTTCTCCACCTACTCATCCCTCCCTCCCACCCCTGAACCCCTAGCAACCACTGACCTTTTCAATGTCTCCATAGTTTTGCCTTTGCCAAAATGTTTTTATCATGGGAATCATACAGCATGTAGCCTTTTCAGATTGGCATATTTCAGTTAATAATGCGTTTAAATTTCCTCCATGTCTTAATGTGCATGATAGCTCATTTCCTTTTATCACTGAATAATATTCCATTGTATGGATGTACCACGGTTTGTTTATCCGTTTACTTGTTGAGGGATGTTTTGGTTGCTTCCAGGTTTTGGCAATTATGAATAAAGCTGCTATAAATATTGTGTAAAAATTTATCTATGGACATAAGTTTTCAGTTCATTTGGGTAAATATCAGGGAGCCCTGTGCTTGTTTTTAACACTGATCATCTCCACCTTAGAAGGAGATGTACCTGATTTTTATGCAATACATTTTGTCTTTTGTGTTCTTAATTACAGCTTTTCCTTCTGACTCTCTCCTCATAGTCTCCCTTTTCTCAACTGGTAACCGTATTAATGCCTTTCTTCCCTTGAGTTGTCATGTTTTGTTACCTACTATTCTAAACTTATCTTTTTGTTCAGTTTCCCCCAATAACTGCAAAGCACTGTACTTAGACTGTTACAGCCATCAGTCCAGTGAAATTGCTCTTACTAAAATTAGTGACAACTTTTAAGTTGCCAAAATGCTCTTTGGTCCTTATGTTAACCTGATATTGCTGTGTGTTTTGCCACTAGCCATGGACAGTTCTCATTTTCAGGTTTTGTTTTTTTTTAGCTTCTTGTCTTCCTCTTTATAATATTGCATTCCTCTTTTTCCATTTGCTGTGTAAATATTGATGTTTTTAACAGTTTTATCCTCACACTGCCTTCATTTTACTTGGGCTTCAGGCAGTCTCTGCCCCATAACTTCAGCCTAATCTCTGGGGAAGTTCCCAAGCTTTTATTTCCAGCACAGACTTCTCCATAGTGTAAGGCCCAATTTTTTAATCTTCTTACTGAACATTTTCATCACAGTGTCTTTCAGACACCTCAGACTCAATATGTACAAATCTAAATGATTAAGAGGGAGCATAAGGAAATTTGGGGTGGTGATAGAAGTTGTGTTTTTCATTGTCTTGGTGGTTACACAACTTTGTGTTTTGGTCATAGAACTGTGCACCAAAAAGAGTGAATTTTATGGTATGTGAAAAAGTAAAACTCAGTAAAGAAATCCAAATGGCCATCCCCACTTTCAAAAAATAACCTAGGTAGTTAATCAACTTGTCTTCTCTTTGTAATGCTAATACACATTAGACCTGCTGACACATTATAGGAACTTATTAGTTGGATGGATGGATGATTAAAATAAACATACCAACTGAAGGTTCCTAAAGACAGAAAAATGTTAAGTATTACTAGATTTATTAAAACATCAGGAAAAACAATGTACATATTTTAAGATGATAATTAATGACTGGTTAATGTTTTTAATACTTGTTAGTGACTGCCATTTATGAATATAGTAAGTATATGTAGTTTTTACATGCCAAGGGATTATGTTCTAAAAGTTGCTGTAAGTTAATACTTACATTAGAAAATCAAAATATATTTTCTCATTAAAGCAATAATCTGTAGGATGAATATGAAAACAGTTCTCTGACCTGAGTTAGGTTGGTATTCCCAGATTCATTCTACCGTCTGCCTCGACCTCTATAGGAACACTGACAACTACTCATATTCAACATGTGATCAGAATTTGGGAGAGACATTTCGTAACTCCAAATTCAGTTCTCAATTGAGACCATCAGTGGCATATCCAATTTTACCTTTTTGAAGAGAACAGTTCTACTATAGGAAGACATTTTCTCACTTCCTTGCTGTCTGCCATTTGGCTCTGAGAGGTATGTTCACCTGTAGCACTTTAGAATAGTTTCCTTCCAAATATATGGTTCAAGGACTTAAAGATGATCAGAGTATTTTCCTCTTCTCATCAATCCCTATTATTATTTATTCATATTTATTCTGAGACTGCAGCTCCCAGAAAAGATACCAAAGGAAGTAAAGGGATGGACTAGCAGTGGCTCATTTAATTCCAGATCTGTATGGTTCACATGGTAATCTTATGCACAGGTAGAGAGGAACACCTTCTGATTTGTAGATATTAAAATTATATTATTTTTCTGGTGCTTTATCGTATGTTCACAGTGACAGAGAACCAAGTAGTAAATTATCAGAGTACATCTCAGTCTACTAGTGCCTTGTTAGAAAAATACTTTCTAGATTACTGGAAGTTAGATTGAGTGAACATTAACTTGGTCTCCACCTAGCAGTTAAGCAGAATCATTCTGTCAGTACACTGCATAGGACTAAGACCAATCTCACAACCATTGATGTTAAATATTAAATCCTCTCCTCTGGAGAACTTCTCCTCTTGTTCTAAGATAAATAAAAAATACCTGTAAAATCATATGGCACAAAGGAAAGGTGACGTTACCCTGAAGACCCAAGCAAAAAAAATGCTCATGAAAAAATGTTTCATTAAAGGAAACATAAGAAAATTGTACAAAGCATTTGCCTTGCAGTCTTAAGAAAAAGAAATAAATCATAAGGAGAGAACAATTTGAGGTGAAAGGGAAGCAGTTAAGGATAAACTGCCAGAAAATGAAAAGTATAAAATCAGAAATGAAGTATATATTGGAAGCAGTAGAGAGCCGAGTTAGCGGTTTAGAAATCTCATCAATAATATGTAGGTTAAACCCAAGAAGTTTCTAGTGTAGAGAGAAAAAACATTTCTGCAGAGAAGATAACATAAAGGAATAGAAATGAAGAAACTTTCACAAATTCTTAGCTGGGAAAATAGCAAATGAAAATCTAAAGAAAATTATATAACCTTAGATATGAAAAAGGAAATTTGAATGTACTAAAAAGGCTTACCTTGTTTTTGGATATAAAGACGTGCAGATGTGAGTTCAAAGGTATGATAGAAGAAAACATAACTTGAGTTGCCAAACGCAGTTGTTTGTGGCAGATTAAAGAGGCTCACATCCTAAGTTGATGAAAAAGATTTTCAAATAGGCATATGAAGGAAATATGTTTGTGGTTACAAGAGTAAAGAAAAAGTTCTCTAACCATTAGAGTTATAAAAATGGCCTAATATTAGGTGCCATATTAATGTGTTACATATATCAAAAGAAATAATAATTTCAATAGATTCTTAAAAAGTACTTGATAAAATTCAATGCCCACACCTAATTTAAGTCTTAAAAATAGTGTGACCATATGTCCTTTACATAACGAAGAATATTTTAACTGAAATCCAACATTGTAATGAAGCGCTAAAGATACTCTCTTTAAAGAACAAGACAATAATATTGCATGCTTTGTTCTACATGTTTTCAACAATGCAACAGACACAAAAGTAAAATAAGAAATACAACTACGGAAAAGGAAAATACATTTATTACTGAACATAATATGACTACATATACAAGCTATCAGTTTCTGACTTACTTAACCACAGATACAAAAGTTGAGAGAAAGGATGTGCATATATTGAGAGCAGTAGAGACAGCATCTATTCCCATATTTTTCCTAAGTTCTTTTTTCTCTAAATAGATGGACACCTGTTAGAATAGAAAAAGGGTTCCTTTTATTGCTCTGCCCGTGCCCTTTTACTGTGGGCTCATATCTCCATTTGACATGAAAGTACACCAACAATCCATGTGCCTCTACCAAACAGAATACTTATAAACCTCTCTTGGTTCTAGAAATAAACTTAGCACTAGCAAGACCACATCCTCCTCAGGGTTAAGGGAGAAAGCAGTCAGTGCCCAGGAATTTGCAAACAGTATCTCTCCAGCTCTGATTTTCCAGGAAGCTCATGTTCCTTAGAAAAAGTTCTCAAGAATGACTAATGCACAATAAATGCATAACATTCAATAGTTTTCTTATATACTGTCAATAATTATTTAGAAGATATAATGTGGGAAAATTCCATTTACTCTAGTGAACAAAATAGTTACTAGGCCTAATCTTAAGAAGAAAAGCATAGCTTTATAGGTACAGGGATAAAGTTTACTGTGGAATAGAAAAGGAAATGTGAGTAAAAGAGATAAGAATGCTTATGGGAGGTATTAATAATAAATTATACAAGAAGTTCTATCTTCTGAATTTCATTCAGAAGCTTTGTGAACACAGTCTTAAAGTTTGCTTGGAAGAACAAATGTATGAGAATAAGTAACATTTTCAAACTTGCTCCCACCAGATATAAAAATAATTATAAAATTTCAGTAAGTAAAGGAATGTAGTACTGAAGTGAGAAAACAAAATCAGTAGTGGGAAGGTCAGACGCTAAATAAAAGCATATATGTGAAGTGCGTGATAAAGGATGCACAAAATCAACGGAAGGACTAAACCGTCTGATGATTGAATATGGGGGAGTTGATTACCTTGTAAAAATGAAGATGCCTAAACATGAATATTGTTGGTTTTCTCCTGTATCCTTTTGAATTTTCTTGTAGTCAAGGAGGAAGTTTTAAACAGTATTCCTGGGGTATCCTATAGAAACCCATCCAACATAGCGATTAAAATGATGAGAAAAGCTCTGGAGGAGGTCAGCATTTGGCTCTGCTTCTATCTAGTTGTGTAAGCTTGGATAAATTATTTCATCATCATGAGTGTCATTAATCCTAAGATAAAGGATTAATCCTAACATAAAGGATTTGAATTTTATTTTCTTCAATTTCCTACCCAACTCTAAAATTACACATTCTGAAGTATAAAAGGATCACATCTAACTACCATGCAAAATGATATCTTTGTAGGGGACTGTAACATGAAATCTAGAGTCAGGTTGTCTGTTCCAGCCTTGGTTCCAGCATTTACTGGTTCTGTCATCTTTGGGAAGTTTTTCATCTTCTCTGTATCTGTTTCCTCAATGAGAAATAAACTGAGATTATTGATAGTACCTTGTAGGTTTGTTGTCAGAAATAAAGCAGTGTATGCAAGTGCATAAAATGATGCCTGGCCTTTACCTGCTCAGTAATATTTTTATTCAGCTTGAGAAAAAATTATTCCAGGAGCATAATTCCACCACCACCTACCCATCCATTCAAGCACAATGAAATCAAGGCCCTCCTGATTCTTGTGAAGGAGATTCTGACACGCATTAGTAGGAAAGGCTTGCTGTGTTTAGAACTCCTCAGATGATTCTGATCTCTGCCCTATTCTTTCACTCCCAATCTTAAACACTATTAGCACTATCTTTGAAATAGAGCATCAGTTATTCAAACTCTGTAACAGGTGAGTAACACTGGGCATTAGCATATTTAAGACTGATGATAGATTCAGTGGAATAAAAATTTTTAATTCTATTTCAGTTTTTTGATAGTTAGACACATGTGAAGGAGGGTCCATTTGATTTTTTTTCTCAACACAACAGTTACTATTTCCAGAACAGCTTTCACCTAATTCAGTTTGGGACGTGCTAGACAGAATTTAAATTCATTTTAACACTCATAAATCAAGTATGTACCGACACTATACTTTTATACCCAAAGGTTGATGAAAGTCTAGTCGAAATTGAATACTATTAAACTATCACTTCATTTTCCAATTGTATTCATAATGGCTATTGATAGTTTTTTTGAAATTTTCAATTAAACATAGGCTTTTAAAGCCTATGGTCCCCAGTGCAAATTATATGCTATTGTCCAGTAGTTTTATTACTGCTTTATTTTGACAACTCTAGTACCTCAATAAGATGTTTTCTTAAAGATGGTTGCATACTAAAAGTTTCCCTGAAGTCTAAGATTTATACAACCCTTTTAGTAACTAAAATGTAAATTAAAAGATTTCTTCATGTTAAATTTCATCTTTATTTCAACTGAAATCAAAGTCAGAATCACTCATGGATGCTAATACTATTGATCAGTTTTATTTTGCTTTAATCCCTTGTTGAGCATCGTCTACTTTTCTGGAAACACTCAAGCAGTTGTTAATGTCTTCACAATGCCCAGAGCAGGGACAGGTGTTCTTTGATGACAGCTTGGATCAAAGAAGGGGTCGTGTTTGACAGAGAACAGTTCCACAGCCATAGTAAACCTTGACCCAAGAGAAATGGGAAACAGTAGGAACCTTCTCTCTCATCATTTCGCCTGACCCACCACAAGAGATGATTCCGTGGGCCAAACTGAGTTAGTGGGAAAGTAAAAGCCTACTTTCCCACTAACTCAGTTTGGCATGAAAAAGAGGAGACGTAACTTTTCTTAATTGATGTGGAAAATCCTAAAGCTGTGGCATCAGAAAGGATATTGAGTTTTTGTAGCCATTGTGGTTCTGGCTAGGGTAGCAATTTCCTGAACAATTTCATATGTAACATATTTTAGAGATAAGGAGTAAGAGAGGAGTTCATTCACATACTGAGCAATCTGCCGTTAGAGGTTTTCTTCCTTGCTGTAATTGTCAAGTTGATAATTAAATTTGAGTGCATAGGGGATGATTTTGATTTTTTCCACAAAATATCTTAATATTACCTGAATAGTTTTCCCTTAATAAGTTTGAAAAGTGAAGATGATTTGAAATAAGAACTTGAAACTTTGGATTATAAGTCAGTAAATCTGGAAAATGGAGATTTTCTCAGTGACTGGACAAATCACTGAGCCAGCTAGAAAATTAGAATAATTAAGCAATTTCAATTTATAGCATTAATTTCTTAGCCTTGGAGAAGGGAACCCATTGTATTCAGATAACTGTTTGGTCTGCCAGATTCTAATATTTATTTTAAATTAATTTCAGATTCTTTTAGTGATCACTATACTCACTTTGAAAGAGTTGTGAAGGCTCTTCTGATCAATGCTCTAGATGAATGTTTTCTGGGAACATTATATGGTAAGTTAATAATATAAATGGAGCAATCAAGGTTTTTTTTTCCAATTTTTAAACAATCTTATTGTTCTATATTTGTATGTGTATATTAAATAAAACTAAGGAGACCCAATCTTAAGGCCCTCCAATTGTTCTGTCTAGGATCAACTACACCAAAAGTCCATTCACATCACAAACTTGTTAGTGTTTATTATTTGTGATATGTGAAAGTACAAAAGAAATATTTTCCCTCTCCTTTGAGAGTTCCACAGTAAACTTGAGGATATAGGGCATATAGTAATAAAGCAATAGGGTAACTCAACATACTTGCATTGTCCCAGCCTAAGCGCTAAGCTCCTTTAATTTCACCAAAAGTTACATGCTTTTGTGCCTTGCTGTTTCTCATTAGAGTATAATCCCTTTCTACTCTAGATTTTCTAAGCGAGTGTAATTTCCACTATGAACGTTATCTGTGACCCAGTTAATATTTCTCACTCCCTCATCTACGCTGTTATCCTGAGTATGGTGGCACTGATATATATGCACTTCTCAAATGTATTGAAACTGTATTTTTGCCTTCCTCCCTTCAAGAGTGTGGGAAGAAGCATACTTTCTATATACATACCCCTTGCATCTAGCTCAGAATCTGGCTCTTAATAAAGACTATAAATAATGCTGAATATCTACCTACGTGCCTAAACAAGATTTCATTCAAACTTTATTGAACAAATATCCATTGAGTGTTTACTAAGGGCCAGGCATTATTTGAGAAAAATTGCAGGAATATGGCAGTAACTATATGACATAGACAAATCTTGCCCTTGTGTTGCTTGAAGTCTCTCTTGAAGTTGGGAGAGACAGACAATGAGTAAACAAATATATAATATGATATGATGTCAGCTAGGGATTAGTTCTCGAAAAATTATAAAACAGGATAAGGAGATCAAGAGTATATAGGACAGGAAAGTCTGTGTTAGATTGCTCAAAAAGGTCTCCCAAGTGTTATCTTGTGAACAGAAACCTGAATGAAGTGAGGGAGGAAGCAATGCATGAATCTAGCAGAGAGCAGAGCAAGTGTAAAGAGCCTTAGAAAAGAATAAGTTCGAGGTGTTCAGGGCACAATTAGAGGGCCTGTGTGGTTTCTTCCATTCCCTAATACTCTGATGGAATGGTTTTCTTTTTTTTTTTTTTAATTTAAAATGTTTCTAATCAACCAACCAAGTATCTGCTTAAAGCTATGGGAAGAAATCTTTAACTATTCCATTATTTAAATATTTTATAAGGGCAAAGTGATTGTTTTTGTTGGTGTTGTTATTGTCGCCCTGAACAGATGGCACCAGGCAGAAATCGTATGCACAAGATATGTTGACTTCTCTTCATTATTTGGATAACCGCTTTGTTCAGCCTCGTTTAGAGAGTTTAGTCTCTAGAAGTCGTTGGAAAGAGCAATACAAGGTATACAGTTTTACTTGTTTTTGAATCTCTGGTTGAGGGTGGGGTGGGATAGAAGTGGCAGTCTTCTCGGAATTTCAGTAACCAGTCACACTTCTTTAACTCATCTTCTAAATTTAATCTTCTAAATTATTAGCATTTTTCGTTGTTAGATAATCAGCTTGTTTCTTGTCTCTTCTAAGGTTATAATTGTTTTAATCATCCCCACTTGTTATATCTATCCAATAATTAATTAGTTATAAATGATAACTTTAAAACATCTCTAGGGCTTAACCCATCTGGTAAAATGAGGAACTTGTCTCACAGGATGTTAACTATTTCAGTAAAAAGAGTTCCACTGTTAAAGAAGGTCAAGAAACAGTAGGTTTAACTTAACTGCTGCAGGGCTTTTCAAGAAGCATTAATGTGTGAATTTATACTGTAAATCTTCTAGAGGGCAATATAGAATATAATGCTTTCCAAATTTGTGTTTTACTATGAGGCTCCTTTTCATAAAATACCTATTATTACCTTCTAGGATATTAGTTCCCATAATATAATAAGGGAAGCCCTGGCCTACGTGGTCTTTGACATCTTTTTCCACCTTAAGATTTTGTAATTCTACCAGTTGAGGAGAATATTCTTTTTAATTTATAAGATCTAATTGATTCCATTTTATCCCCCTAGATTTCTGTTTTATCATCTCTAATAGTACAGGCTGTCTTATATGATTTACAAGACTTTTTTTCCTCCCTACTTCTAACTTTTTATCTTTTAATAATTAGCAAGAAGAAAAAGGCAAGATAGTAGAAGTTCAAGTTCCATATAGTCTTTCTAGCACCTAAATCATTAGCTACTCTACCTCATTTGTGTCAGGAGATTTGGCTTCATCCAGTGCCTGTTCAGGCTTGTATTACTTGAAGATAAATTAGCTACAGATGGTTTAGGTTTAAGGGACAGTTATGGGATTACAAAAAAAAAAAAGAGAAGACTTCAATTTGGAGGATAGATTGAGTTTAGGGGGCTTCCCTGGTGGCTCAGCTGGTAAAGAATCTGCTTGCAATGTGGGAGACCTGGGTTCAATCCCTGGGTTGGGAAGATCCCCTGGAGAAGGGAAATGCTACCCACTCCAGTATTCTGGCCTGAGAATTCCATGGACTGGATAGTCCATGGGGTTACAAAGAGTCGGACACGACTGAGTGACTTTCACTCAGTTGAGTTTAGAGTCACCATGTATTTCTTTTTGACTTTGAGTGATTTTAACTTCCATGAATTCCAGTTTCTTCCTCTGATAGAGAAAATACTTACCCCCTTTAAAGGGAAATATTTACTAATTTTTAAGGTAAAGTACATGGCACAACTTTTAAGATATGGTATAATATATATCGTTGTCTTTAATAGAAATAAAAGCATATTGATCATTTAATTTTGCCAAGTAATTTATATGCAAAGTAAAATATCTTATCTGGCCTTCAGAGTAACACCCCAAGAAAGATACTTACTATTTCCTCTATTTTAGAAATGAGAAAATTGTGACCCAGAAAAACTGAATAATGTAAGGTTACACAGCTAATATTAATCAGGCCATTGTTTGAACCAAGCACAAACCTTAGGTCTAGGGTTTCTCAGACTTCAAAGCCCATCAATTCTGCTGTAATATGTTTTGCATACTATGATAGGTTATGTGGAATTTGGATAACCCACTGTTGAAATAATAACTGTAAGTTAACAAGATAATATTAGCTTAAAAATTTAGACACATAGATAATCAATTCAGTACGATCTTGTTCAAAATAAGTTAAGTTATGCTGCAAAAAATAAATAATGTGACAAAGTAAACCAGCAACGGAAACCTCAACAGCTTAACTAAGCAGAGTTCATTCTTCACTTGTGCGTTCGCTGTGAGTCGGCGGGGGCGCTCTGTCGGTGGCGGTCATTCAGGGAGCCAGGCTGGAGGAGCTCTCATCTCGGGCCGGGCTGTGAGTTCCCGAGGAGCAGGACGGGCAGGTGGCTAGTCACTGTTGACTCTGAGTGTCAGCCCGCAGTGACACATGTCATGAAGTACCACGAGGTCAGAGAAACACTAAAACGCACAAGACAATGTTGTTGTGAATTATAAATGTAAAAAGGAAACTCCACTGGATACTTAATTACTGTCAGGCTGATAGAGAATACAGATTAGTGACCTTGTTAATATGCTCATTGTGTGCAGCTCAAATACTGTGGTAAGCTAATCCACACTACTAATTAGAATAGGAGTGTCTAGCACAGGCCTAGAGCCTAAGCAAAACTGCTCAAGCACAAGTAATTTCATAGCTTAATAAAGCTTATTTATGAATGCCAAATATTTTCTCTGTTTGTTCATTGCTAACTCAGCTATTAGACTGGCCATAGCAATACTGGCAACCTAGCAATCCTAGTTCAAACTTGTTTGTTTTCATAGTACTTTAGTAAGCAACTATAGGAGAATTGAATTATTTCTGGGATATTTTGTGGAAAATATAATTCATGCAATGGAGACTAAATGTGATCTTGTTTTTTTCTCAATTTTTATTAACCTAAATGAACTGATCTTTTAATTATATTATCCTGAATTTTTTTTCTGCTCATTCTTTCCTATTTTAACTAATCACAACATCTGGAGATAAGAAGAGAGATAAGATGTAAATTAAAACCTTAGTAGTAACTTAGAAGTTTGAGAGAAATGAAGCTAGTTTCTTTCTTCATCTGATTTCTTTTCAACAGCCTAAATTATAAATTTATTTTAAAAATTTAAATGTATCTTGTCAAACACCTCCTGTGTGCTAAATACTAAAGTGAGACGTACCAGTGTGTTTTGCTCTTACATCTTATTCTATTATTATGATTCCTATTCTTAATTTTAGTTTGGTTGGGCTCTTATGTTTTATTTTGTTGTTGTCTTTCTTATCCTTTAAACTTTCATTACATTTTGAAATTATTTTCAGGAGCGAGTAGAAAATTATTCTAGTGTAAGTATCCAACCGAAGAATCCTGAGAACTGTTCCTGCCAGGCTTGTGGGCTGCATCGCCACTGTACATACTCGGTGCATTTATCAGGAAAGCTGTATAACACCAGGACCATGGAGACAGATGATTTCATGTCACACGATAAACAGGTATTTTTCCCCCTCTCATTTTAATTCTCAAAAATGAGAATTTTCACTAAATAAGCCTGCACAGTTAACCCTAAGTTCTTTTCACAAATGGAAAAAGCACCAGGAAAAGAAAAAAGAGCACGGGGAAAGAGTGTGCCATTTTTTAATGTGAAAATGTGTATTATACAGCAGATTCACTCTAAATTCAGTCAGGTACTGAAATCAGTGCATATTGTCTAAGTGTGCTTCACCCAAACAAGGTGAGGGTGAGGGGCGTGAGGGAGAGGGGACAAGGATGAAAGGGAGGTAACTGAGCCAGAGGAAGCAGAAATCCTTTTTGAATCCCAAGGAGAATTTGACCCCAATGGAAATTTTAGGGCAGATCATCTACCAAATTGACAATCTACAAACAAATAATTAAAGATGCCTATAGATGGTAAAGAGTCTGCCTGCAATGTGGGAGACCAGGTTTGATCCCTGGGTTGGGCAGATCCCCTGGAGGAGGGCATGGCAATTCACTCCAGTATTCTTGCCTAGAGAATCCCATGGACAGAGGAGCCTGGCGGGGTACAGTCCACGGGGTCGCACAGAGTTGGATACAAATGAGTGACTAACACTTTAAAATTCACCCCAATAATGAGGTTTGAAGGAAAACTGTGCTTCAACTTACACTACATCAGAAGTGTTTCAGAGCCTAGAACCATCACTGTATATTTAAGGTACTATTAATTTTGAATGAATAGACAAAACAGAAGAAAATATTTGAAATATTTGAAGAAAAGTATTTGATAAACAAGAGCAGAACAGTGCATGTGAAGACAGAAAAAAAAAAGATGCAGATGCAGACTACTATTTATTTTTTTACTCTTTGTAAAATGATTACACTTACAAGTACAAAAAATAATAAAATTGAGAGCTTTCTCTGGACTTCCCTCTGTGGATTCCTCATCCACTGATACAGAGGACCAACTGTATCTTTATTTTGAAAAATCCATATCTACATGGGTCCATGCAGTTCAAGCATATGTTGTTCACGGTTTAACCATACTATTTTTACACCTGTGGTTGGTTTAATCTGCAGATAGAGAAGCCCAAATGTAAGACTTGGGCAGCTGTGGATTTTGGCATCAGGGAGGGTCCTGGAAGCAACCCCTGAGGAGAGTGAGGGGTGGCTGTAGTTTTAGCTACAACAGTCTTGGATAGGGTACTGAGATCAGAACCCTGGCCCACCAGCTTGTGGTGATACCTAAGGGCATTAGAGAAGAAGGAAATCACCTGGAGGAAAGAGACGTGCGATCTGAAAGGCAGTCAGGAGTACTAACAAGTTTTCAGTTTTGCCCAGAGTCTGTCCAGACTCCTCAAGACACTTAAGATCCAGTGAGAAGAAGCATTAAGTTTCAGGCAGATGGCCATGTGTAATAAAAAAGGTGAAAAGTGAAAGTGTCAGTCGCTCAGTGAGTCCGACTCTTTGCGACCCCATGGACTGTCAGGCTCCTCTGTCCATAGAATTCTCCAGGCAAGAATACTGGAGTGGGTAGCCATTCCCTTCTCCAGAGGATCTTCCCGAGCCATGGAGTGAACCCAGTTCTCCTGCACTGCAGGCAGATTCTTTTACCATCCGAGCCACCACGTGTCATGCATCCATGCAAAGAACAGGCTGAGAGGGAATAGAATTCCTTAACTCAGCTTGTTGCACTTAGGTTTTTAGCTGTGCTTTGTTGCTCAGTCATGTCTGACTCTTTGCGACCCCATGGACTGTAGCCCGCCAGACACCTCTGTCCATGGGATTCTCCAGGCAAGAATGCTGGAGTGGGTTGCCATGCCCTCTCCAGGGGATCTTCCCAACTCAGAGATCAAACCCAGGTCTCCTGCATTGCAGACAGATTCTTTACGTCTGTGCCACCAGGGAAGCCCAATGTTCTTAGAGATCTGGGAATAGACAGTAGATTTCTTCCCATCCTTCCTCTTTCCTTGAAGATATTTTCTCTTTCTTCTCCATACTTTAATTTCTTTAAGGAACTGGTTGCTTCTCTGTATATGAGGGCCTAAAGAAATACCTCAAAAAGCTACCCACAGTGTTAAAAACATGTTAAAAATGTGCATAATGCATGTTTCATTGTATTTCCTTGCTTTAGTTTGTTAAACAGTCTTAATTTACATTTCCACGTGTTGTATCTAATAAATTACAGAGCAGATTATTTCTATTGCTTCGCAGTCACCATCTTCTGCTTTAGGAAAATTTGATGACAATTTTTAGCTTTGCTTCTGATTAATCTTTGGCTATGTCAGGCCCCTAGTTCACACTGATAACTGAGATGATTCAGTTATCTTCAGATTTATCAGTGCATAGAACTATACTAACCCTACACAGTGGATTAGTTATCATTTATATATCACTTATCTGCTTTGAGATAATCATCACAGAACTTGCCATTTCTCTTTCTCTCTGGCGTTTTTAAATATTGTCTATCTTGTAAGACTAGCGTCTATTTTTTTTTCTTTTTCTTTTGGCTGCACCGTGTGGCTTGTGGGATATTAGTTCCCCAACCAGAGACTGAACTTGTTGGGCCCTTGGCAGTGAAAACACTGTGTCCTAACCACAGAACCACCAGATAATTTCCCCCAAGTAGTGTCCTTACTGTTTAGAAATGCAATCAGTTAATTAAAAGTACTCTCTAAACACATTTCTGGACATTTAAGGACACTCTTCTAGCAATATAGATTTAATTTACTTGTTTTTAGAACTTCATGTAAATAGAAGGCTACAGTATAAGCTGTGTTGTATTATATACATTAATTCATAAGGTATAGTTGGCTGTAACAATACACTAAAACAGGGAAGGGGTGAAAGGAGAGGTCTACTTGCAGTGTATGCAGCAACTGTGTACATATCCTATGTATATTTACTGCTTTTATGAAGCCTTACTCACAGTGATTTAGGCTCTTCCATATAAAATGTGCTCATGTTTGGGGAAAAAAATAGTATGAGAATATTCTAAAGGTAATATTCAGTGTCAATAAACTAAATGTAAAGTAGACACCAAAAGGGTAGGAATTAGAAATGAAAAGGATTTTCAATAGATAGTTTTGTTTCATACTGGAAAAAGAAATTAAAATAGAAAATCTTAAACACTTCTCCTTTCCTTTTGTTCCAACTCAAAATCTCTATACAGATAAGTTCTTGTTTTGTGGAAATACAGAATACAATGTAATAAAAACAAAAAATTGTATTATTCTTCTACCATATTTTATCCAGACCAGCCATTGGAGATTTCTCCTGCATCATCTGCTTAAATGGTAGAAGTGGACTTCCCCATAGAGTTCACTGCAACTGTTGTGGTATCTTTTTACTCAAAGTGGGAGGTATTGGCAAATGAACTGTAATTTATATGACTGGTTTGATGAAAATGTTTCAATGGGAACAATACTTAGAGTAAGCAAGCCATGAACAGTAATACCTGATTGTTTCTGATGATCTGAAAAACAGATTTTCCCAAATCATAAACAGAAATATGTATGTGCTTTTCCTCAGCATTTTGAAATTTTTAAGAAACATTAGAAGATATCCCAAATGCCATCTTCACAAGACGATGCATCAAAGCTGACTGTTACTGACCATCATATTTAACTTTTATTCATTTTTGCCAACTTTTGTATTTTTTATTTACCTCATAGCCTGTGTGATCCCTATGGTGTGACTTCAGAAAAAGAGCACAGTTCTTTGCCAGATAGAATACAAGTTGCATAGGTCAATAATGTAACTATATCATTCTTACTGAATTCACGATAGTGTAACCCATCATGTATGTAGACACAAAGACAAATACATAAGTTAGGAAGAAGTTTGTCTATTTCCTGAGGTTACTCCATGAGAACAAGATTGGTCATGTTATAAAGTTTGAAGTCCTTTCTGATGCATTTGCTACAATGGGTGAAATAATGTAGGTACAGTTACATTTGATTTGGTCAGTGCAGTGACACTGTTCCAGTTTTAGCTATAGGTGTGTGTAACAAAGTATACATTCAAAACATTCTAAAAGAGAATGAATGGATGGTTGACTTCACAAGAAGAGTATTCTTAATCATGAGATCCTAGAAGTCCACATAAACATAGAAATCAAAATTTTTACAGTTTGCTAATAATAAAATAGTAATGTTTATAATTACATCAGATGCATTAATTAAGGGGCTTCCTGGGTGGCTCAGATGGTAAGGAATCCACCTGCAATGCAGGAGACCCCAGTTTGACCCCTCGGCTGGGAAGGTCCCCTGGAGAAGGGGTAGGCTGCCCACTCCAGGATTCTTGGGCTTCCCTGGGGGCTCAGATGGTGAAGAATCTGCCTGCAAAATGTGGGAGACCTGGGTGTGATCCCTGGGTTGGGAAGATCCCCTGGAGGAGAACATGGCAACCCACTCCAGTATTAGGGCTTCCCAGCTGGCACTAGTGGTAAAGAACCCGCCTGCCATGCAGGAGAGGTAAGAGATGCAGGTTCAGTCCCTGGGTGGGGAAGATCTCTGGAGAAGGCAATGGCAGGCCACTTGAGTATTCTTGCCTGGAGAATCCCATGGACAGGAGCCTGGAGGGTTACAGTCCATGGGGTCGGAAAGAGTCAGAAACAACTGAAGTGACTTAGCACACATTAATTAAGATAAAAAATATAACTAAACACAAAGTTATTTTTTACTTGCAGAATATTTTAGAAAAAAATATTTGGTTAAAAGCTCTCTATTTTTGATATTGGTATGAGAGCCTGTTTCAGTTTACATATTGTTTGTAACAGGAGCCCCCAACCTCCAGAATCTGACACCTGATATCTGAGGTGGAGCTGATGTAATAATGATAGAAATAAAGTTCACAATAAATGTAATGCACTTGACTTATCCCAAAATCTTCCCCTGTCCAGGTCTGGGGAGGGGGGGGATGTTTTCCGTGAACCTGGTTCCCAGTGCCAAAAATGTTGGGGATTGCTGGTTTATAAGCTAGAAAATTATCATAATTCAAGCATTTTTACCTCAGTAACTGTATGTATAGTAGCTTGCGTGCTTTTCTTGCTTTGAGGTATGGTTGTCCTTTTGCCTTACAAGCCATCTTTCTCCTCTTTCCCAAACTTGGCTAACTGTTTTCTAAAGACTTAGTTCACACATCACCTAATTTAGATTTTTCTACTTTCTGGATTGTGTTAATTGTCCCTTCTCTGTACCTTGATTGCCTCTCGTGCATTGCATTTGGCATGTTGATTTGTGATCATTTGGTTTTTTCTCCCAGCAGTGTAAATTCCCCTGATAGAGGAGGCACATATTTTATTTCTGTGTCTCCAGTGCTTAACTCAGTACTTGAAACAGCAGTTGCTCACTTTTTTTTGTTATTCTGGTTGTATAAATAAAAGAAGGTAAAGGAATTATTGTATAAAAAATTTTGAAAAATGGTGTATGGATTCTACTTTTAAAGAAAATCTGAAAACCAGAAAGGCTGTATATTCACTACTATATATTCATTTCATATAGCAGGTGATGTTTTATTTCTTGATTTAGGTGTTTACTGTTGGCAGAGTTTGTGCTGAGCGAACCAGAATTTACCATAAACTGAAACATTTTAAATTCGAGCTGTACCAAGAGTGTTGCTCCATTGCAAAGACAGAAGAGGTTGAGGATGAACAGGTTAAAGAAACAGTGAAAAGAATTTTCAATCAGTCAAGAAACAGTGGCTGGATTAGAGAGGTAAGGTGAATATAGAAGAACCATTTCATTCAGTAGGTTCTGGAGCCTACTACTGATCAGCGAAAGGATGTGAATTATGAGAATAGAAGACAGTGACTTTTAAAAGAGAACCTCTCCTGCTCTCCCTGTCTTTGTATTTTCTCTTCTTCCACCCATTCCTTCCACGCTTATCATTGTCGTACCCTGAATAGGTGCCCTGATGTTCTAAGCATTCACTTAGCTCATCAGATGAATTTTAATCAGGAGTAATACAGTCCTTTAATGAAGGACCTCTGTCCTTTCACTTTTATGTATGTGTGGTTTTCCTTACATATATATTAAGTCCCCTTATTTTCTTTGACAAAGTATAGGACTCACCTCTGCTTGTCTGCTTCCTATCTTTAGAACAGTTCTTGTGACCTGAGAGTGAAGAAGCCTCTGATGCCAGTCTGAGGAAAGGATCTCGGCTGCCAGTTCTAATACCACCCACATCCTCTTCTTGAGGACATGGGACTGAGCAGTGAGCACTCTAACTGAAGATCAAGGGGAATGCAGAGGTTTCAGGCCACGGCACTGATTTTGATTCCCCCATATCCTGTTGATCACTAAATTTGATATCAAGGATAAAGTGGGGATTTTGAAGAGTGCACTGGATTCCCGAAGATCTGCTGGCAGCTCATAAGCTCTGGTCTACTCACAGAGCTTTTAGAATTGTCATGGTACATGGAAAGAATGCAAGGATGCTAACATGATTGCAGTCTTCTAAAGCAAGTCTAGTTACATGACTGTATAAGAGAGAACAGATAGGACATTTTCAGGTATCAACTCAGATAACAGTTGATACTCAGATCAACAGTATATTTAATCTTAAAAAAAAAGCCTGGGTTATTATATCATCGGGAAATTTGTAAAAGAGGAAAATAAAAAGAGCTTAGAGAATAAACTTAGGAGCCAAGGGAAAGAAAATGAGAACAAACAAAACAGGAACTTCTTAGGACGTGACATGTTCCACAGGGGTGTCCTGGGCCGGAGAATGACATCAAGATTGGTTTCCCTTTTGACAGTTATCCACCCACCACAAACCACCAGCCGGGGATCTCCTTGCCTGCTCCCCACATCTTGACCCTTCAGTCGTCTTGCTTTCATTTTACTCTCTTCAGCTTTGTATCTTTTACTTTGCTTCCAGTTCTCTCTCTCACTCACAGTTCTTTCCTCCCTATCCTTCTCTCTGCATTTTCATTTGCTGTGGGGAAGAGCCATCACTTATCCAGTGAGTCCCAACTTCGTTTTCCTCAGTGACATGAAATTCTTAAGTGCATTTATTGATGCATTGAACTGTTAACCAACCCTCTAGTGGAGTTAAAAGACCTTTTGGGACACCAATTAAAAGAATTATGTACTAGGTGTAGCAAAATCACCCTGCATTGTATATACTATATAATAATTTTTATATATGGGAAAGAACATTAAACTTCTTACAGAAAAAAGTAAAAGCATTTCCAAATCATGTACCTTAGAGAAAGCTTAACAAAGTTTGTGACAACAGAAGGGACCTGCAAGAAGAAAAAGATTCTTAAGAAAGCCAAGAGTCACATTATGCTTTAAAAAATAACACAGCATTGGGCGTTGAAAGTATTTCAGGATGGTGCATATTTAGGACAACATGCATATTTTTTCACATAAAATACCAAAGAACTTCATTTTCTTTTTGAGAGCTCTCCTACTTTAAAAATATTTGTCAGTAGATATTCTCAAAAGATTTCCTAGAAACCAAAGAAGTTTATTAGCCAGTGTAAGCCCATAGGTAGCTTTTTGTGCAGTGATTAAAGTGCAGAATTCACCAGATGCCCTGACATTTCTCCACATCACCCCGCCACCCCGTCAGATGTGTTTGCCTTTGAGTAGTAGCACTGCCCACGCCCCTGTGGTGCACGCCTTCCTCTTGGCCGCAGCTCTCCTGAACCTTGAGAATACCCGGGCTCTGTGCTCCTTGAGTGGCGCATCCATGCCTCTTTCTGCCCTTAGCACTCAGTTACCATGTGAGCCTCCTCTCTCACACTGTACGAACTCTGTTCCTGTCTCTCCCCGCCAGCTTGTGTTTCACACCTTGCTTTTTCCCTTACCTGCCTCTTCTTCCTCCAAGCATTTTTCTTCCATTATCTTGGGATCTCTCAGAATTTCTTCCCAAAGACCTGCCAACTAGAATGACTTCATTCTTCTTATTCTTCCTCCTAACAGTTGAACTAGGAGATCTGATTTTAACCTAACGATATTAAAAGGATAGGAGCAATTCAAGTGTAAGAAAAGATGGAATGATAAGAAAATTATGATAAAATCAAAATATATAACATATAATAGTAATAACATGCCTCATTCTAAATTGGAAGTGAAGAACATAATGTCATATGCCACTGGCAAATGCTGACAAACGATTTTTCTTTGAGAGTACCTTTGATGGTGGGACTTCCAGGGCAGTTGAAGACAGGATTGTTGGGATAGGGTAGTGAACACATAACACCAGGAAGTGAAAAAAGTATGTCCATAGGAACATCAGGTCTCAGTCCCTATCACCATAAACGTCAGAGTTATCAACATCGTCTCTCCTTTTATTGGAAGCAGAAGAAGAGCTCATAAGGAGAGTTAAGAAACCATTAGGTCAGTTCATCTCCTCAGCGGAAGGAAGCACTTGAACTCTGTCAACCTTGAAATCTCCAAACTGTCCCAGCTCCTCTCTCCTCTTGTCCGGCCCTGGTCTTTACTCTCCATCGTCATTGCTGTCACTCAGATTTAGGCCTTCATTACCTAAATTATTATAGTAGACTCATGACTAGCTGCCAAACCATTCTAGACTGGATGTTTTACCCTTTAAAAAAAAAAAAAAATATATATATATATATATACCTCAGATTGTGTCAATTTCCTGCCCTAACACCTTTGGCAGCTTTCCATTGCCTGTCACATTATTGCTAAACTCTATAACCTAACATTTCATACTTTTTATTCTCTGACCACCTCTTTGGTTCAGTCTTCTCTCTCAGTTCCCCTGGAAAACCTCAGACTGCAGTCAAACTCCGTACTTTTCTGTCTTGTCACTGTTTTGTGGACTTCTGTCTCCTAGAGAAAACTCTCCACCAGATCGTCGCCTACCAAGTCTTTTTCCCTAGGATAGCTCAAATGCCACTCTTCCTGGTCACCTCAGCTAACCATAACCCCTCTTCCGAACCCTCATAGCAGTGTCTATACTTCTTTATGCCCCTTGTTATTGGTTGTCGTTGGTGAACTCTGTTCTCCTTAGAGGCAGGGAATGCAATGGAAAGGGCATGGCAATCCACTCCAGTATTCTTCCCTGGAAAATCCCATGGATGGAGGAGCCTGGCGGGCTATAGTCCATAGGGCCGCAAAGAGTCAGACATGACTGAAGCAACTTAGCATGCATGCATGCATTAGCAAAGTATTTGATATATGTTATGTGTTAAACAAATTTTTATTGAATAAGTTATTTGAAGTTGTTACACTTCTACTACAAATATGATAATAGAAAACTTATAATTTATCAGACAGTTATGAAGTTAATAATAATGTTCATTTTGATCTCTTACCAATGCTTTCTATGAATTAGAAATGCTTATTTGAAATTGAGTCCCTGTTTATAATAAAAAGATATTTGTTCATGATTGCCATGAAATAAACTTGTTACTATTTGTCTGTAGATTCAAAAGGCCTAGTTTATCTTCACTGCTTTGAGTAAAATAACTAGCTTTTTTATTGTATACACAGAAATATGAACAACTTCAAGAATATCTCAATTTTGCGGATTACTTTCAAGATGAGAAGTTTGACTGAATTTTAACACATTTCCTTCAGAGAAGATTTTGTAAATTCCTGTAAATGTGAAGATCACAAGTCTTGTTTCTCTGTATCATGTGACATATTTATATATTTTATGTATAGCTTCATGGCAAAATTGGAGAAGGAAATGGCAACCCACTCCAGTACTCTTGCCTGGAAAATCCCATGGACCGAGGAGCCTAGTAGGCTACAGTCCATGGGGTCGCAAAGAGTCGGACACGACTGAGCAACTTCACTTCACTTCATGGCAAAATGTCTTGTGTGAAACATGTTTATCTTAATTTCCATGAAACAACATTCTGCAGTCTAATAAAACTTTTATCTACTGTACATAGAAAACACAAGCCTAACTTTTAAGTGTATTTTAAAGTTATATAACAATGCCTTTATATCAGATGACTATCAAGTGAATGAGCTGTTCATGTCCTGTCAGTTTATTAGAAAACCATGTTTTTTAAAAATGTATTTAGATTAACATCTATGTGCATTCCTGCCCAGATCTGCTTATTACCCTTCTGCAGTATTAAATGGTCTTCACTAACATATTTTTTACTGCCATCATTATCTAAATCAGTGGGCCATGAAAGAAGCCTCAGTGTTATGTTCAACTAAATTCTCTGGCATCACAATCAGACTATAGCTTACCCATTCCAAGTAGAGGAATGCTTTTTTCCCTTTTACAAAGTTTTCCTTACAAATATATTTCAGGCCTGCAAAGTCTTCCAATCCTCACATTCAGGAATAATTTCACGATACGTATTTGCATAGGTCATAACGTTCTTTCTTTTTCCTGTCCAATTTTGTCTACAGGTACATGAATAAGATGTATTTTATTTATTTTTATCCATTACTCTTCCCCTAAAAGTATTTTCTAGGATCAGAAGAATTCAGAGAGACAAATTCTGCCAAAAATAGTTAAAAGTCACATTTTGGCATCTACATTGCTTCTAAATTGCACTTCTAAATTTTCCCTTAATATAATAAAGTAAAATGGTTTCAGAGTGAACAAATGGACCCTGGCTATTCTGTATTTTTAATTCTTAAAAGTGCTGTTCTGTTAGGGTCTAGTTCCTTGTGAATTTTAGATCCTTGTTTCTTCAGGTGTCATTTGAGCTTTGCTTCATCTATTATGTGGTTCATGGAATGGTCTTCATTATATACATTAAAAATTGTATTAAGTCCTTACATAGAGATTTAATATTTTCTACAATTAATTTTCCAGTATTATCCCTATTACAATTGTAAACAAAACAGGTAGAAAGAACTTACAAAGTTGCAAGAATACTGCTGCTGACTTTTCATGTGAAGAGTGCATACCTTTTTAAAAAGTATGAAATAGAAATTTTAATCACACATCTATTCGTATTCTTACTTGTCTGTTATATGGAAATAATCCTTAGCTATATGAAGGTACAGTTGAAAGTTGAAGATATAGTGATAGTGTCCAAAAAGATATATGGCAGAGTTTAGAGAAAAAGTGATGGCCAGTTGGGAAGGGTGAAGATCGTGAATGATTTGTCAAAAAAGAAGTCCAGGGAAAACAAAAGAATGATCTCTAAAGTATCTCTGAAGACCTCGGGAGCATCATTTCTCATATGTGACACTACAGGCAAGTTTGAACCAACTGAGGAGTGAACGTACCAACTGACCGTTAAAAATATTTATCTATTCTTATAAATAGCATTCACTTAATTTATAAAAATGAAAGCACTAATGACTTTAAGGACTTTTTATGGCAGCTGACCCAGTCCCTAGGTCATGCCTCTTGTTGACTTGAAACATTTTTCTTGTTAGAACAGTATTCTGACTGTTGATCAGGAAATGCTGATAAGTAGTTTTGCTGATGTCTGAGGTCACTGCAACGGAGCAAGCTTCTTCCGTAGGTGTTTGGAGAGTACAAGAGACTTTTTTGTACATGATTACACCAAAAGAACTGCAAAGAGACAGGCTGTCAGGAAATGAGAATTAGCATGGATCAGGGGGCCAAAAGCAAGTGGTCTAGAAGAAAACAATGTTGAAAAATCGGAATTAACTTTAGTAGGTATTATGAGGTACTGTATTATTTTATCATCATCATCTTTGATATCACTGATTCTATATAACAAAAAATAGTTTTTAAGCTTACTAGTCTCATATCTATGAACTTTTGAGATCTTGACATTATCACTATAGCATTAAATGCTTTATGTTAGGTACCTATGAACAGTAAAGATGATGAAGACAGATGGACAAATGAACTAATGCTTTAAAAAAATTGGTAGGGCTCTTATAAAAGCTTTAGGGATATAAGAGGAAACAGTTCCATAAAAGGGGAAGACAAGGAAAAAAAGTTTATTTTATTGGCAGCTGGACGTAATTGAGCATATTTTCTCACTTGTCTGCTCTCATACTCAGATGAGTAGTTCTATTCACTACTCATTTCTTGGAGGTATTATAGGACTTGCTTAGACTCCAGCATGTTGATTGAGGTGTAATTGCAGCCCTTGAGCTATTCTGGGTATAGTCTGGTTTCCCTGTAACTCTTTTCACCCTTGATACTGAGGCAGCAAGTCCAGTGGTTAAGAAAGGATAGGTTTGAAATTAGGCTTGAGTTCGAGTCCTGATCTGTTGTTACTTCCTAGTTAAATAGTTTATTTTCAATAAGCCTCAGTTTCCTCATTTATAAATGGGGTTAATAATTCCTCTCCCTCAGGATTGTTGGTGGATTGAGGGAGATACATGCAAAGTACTGTGCCTGAAACAGTGACTAAATAAATAGTAATGACGTGAGTGGAAACAAGGATGTGGATGATAATGATGTCAGCTTGAAATGAAATGGCTGTAAAGGGCAAATGTGCACAAAAGATGCTGTAAAGGAGTGTCCTACATCACTAGAATATAGTAGGAAAATTTATTAAATTGTTGCTGGACAAGTTTTTAAGGTGTGTCCTTGTCTAGCTTAGAAATAAAAGTTTACATCATTTAGAAATAGCAGCTTTGACCAAAAACTTAATCAAAATCATGCTACTACAGGACTGTAGAGTGAACAGTAAGTTTAAATTTATTGAAGTTGTTTCTCTTTTATCAAGTATGATTGCTGAATATAAAGTGCTGATAGTAACAAGATAATGTCTAATGAATACACCTTTTTAAAAACCAAGTCTAAAATGATCAGAACTCCTTCACATTTTAATGACACCTCATGAGAGAGTTCTCCTTTCAGATTTGCATACCTTCAAAAGATATTTCTGCCTTTCTCCATGAGTGGTGAGGAACAGCCTTGGAAGGGACAGACAGCAGTATGTTCCAATGAAAAGTAAAAAGTTACATTCCATCAGAATGCAGTTGTCCCAAATTCCAAAATAACATTCTAGAATTGGTGAAAATAAAATGAACTAATGTAGGCAAGCCTATCAAGAACTAAACTGTAGATAAATCCAGGCTTAAAATGTTTGCAGTGATCTTATTCATTTCTATCCACAGCTCAATTTGAAGCAGGATCTTGTAACAGATGCCAGAGGTGGTTTAAATTAAAGCCCCATTGCTTGACACCTCAAATCCAAATGACTTCCAAATGAGCATAACAGACTATATGGTCCTGACTAGAGCAATACTGTGCTCACTTTATTTTATCCTCCATAACTGGTAATCAGCAGAATCCAACATACATTTTGAGAGCTTAAAGGTAGAATTATCTGAAGATGAGACAACAGTGTGTGTCAGAGATCTATTTGTTTTGTGTTAGTGAACTTCTTGAAACTGGACTGCTGCATAATGATTTTCCTTGTTATATATGTAAACAGACTACCGTGAAGGCCCCAGATCTTGCATTAGGTTTGTCATAGGGAATCTTGTATTTTCAGAAAAGTCTTTTTTTGTTGGTTTTTTTTTTCCTTTCTGAGAACTGATATGTGTAATGTCATCGTGGTAGTATGTTTTATTCTTGCTGATTTGCTTGTAGTCACCCAGATTGACTTAGCCAGAGACAGACAAAACAGGCGAGCAGGTAGACAGACACTCGCCTGCCCTGTAGGAGCTAACGATGTAATTTCTTCTCTGCACCCACTCCTCTGTTTCCCCAATACGCACACACCCTACGCCTCCCTTTCTGACACCCAGGAACATTTCCTCCGTGCTCACCCAGCTCTCGCTAGAGTGCCCAGGGGTGTCAAAGACAACATACTGAAAAATGAAAGTGATATCCTCGGGGGGGTGGGGGGAGAGCGTAACGGAGGTCTGGCAGGGAAAATACATCCCCTGGCCGGGAATTTCTGCACCATTTCGGGCTGGTGAAGTAGTCGGGTAGAGGTTGGGGAATTTCCCCAACGTCCCCCCCTCCTGCCCGAGCCGAGCCGGAGTGCGAGCTGCGCGCGCCGACGCCGAGATGCGCAGGCTTCGGGATCCTCCACTTCTTGCCGCTGGGAGGCCCTCTGCGTTCCCCTTTCCCCGCGCCGGCCGCCTCGCTCGCCTGTGCAGTGGCACCCGCCTTCCACCAGGGAGCCTCGGGCGAGCGCTCCCCCGCCCTCCGCCCCCCACCCCCCTGCAGCTCGCTGGCTCTCTCTTTCTCCCTCTGTCTCACTCTCTCTCTTTCTCTCCCTCTCCTATCGGAGCACAATGAAAGCCTGTGTATCGCCGTGACTCCGGGCGGCGGAGCCAGTGTCAGCCCAGCGGCGAACAACAGACGGGAAAAAGAGAAAGGAAAAGAGCGGCTACTTTCTTTTCCATCTCTAAAAGCGGAGCAATCCAAGAGATAGAACCACATTGCTTATTGCGAGTCCAGACCCTCAGATCCACTGGCCGGGGATGGAATGTACAAAAGTGGACAGAAAAGTGGCTGGACATGACTCGGTGCAATTTGCTGGAAGTTTGTAAGTTTGACCATCGTTTGTAAATTACTCTCGGAAGAGTTTGTCTCTCTTGATACTGTATTAGAATCGAGCCGGGGGTGAGGACTAGAAACGTAAGCGGGAAAGAAGAAAAAAAAAAAAAAATGTGTTGAAGGATCTCTCTCTCAG